TTATTATCCACAGCTGCCTGCATCTTTTGTTTTTGTTTTCTGCTGAGAAGTATGTACAGTTAAAGCAAAAATACAGGCTATAGCAACATTTCTTGCTCTCGTTTTGTGCTGGCTACTACCACAGACCTTTGATTCAGAGGGTTTGGTTGCTCTTGGAAATGCAGATATTCCATTTCAGCAACCACAGTCCAAAGAGAACATTTCCACAAGCTACAGGGTGTAGACTTGGGATAATTTCATGTGTGATGCAGTAAGTAATTTCTAAAATACACAGAAAATGCTTCTTGCAGTCTTCATCTAAAGCAAGATGAGAATCATCATTAGAGATACAGAGCCTAACTCGCAGTGCTCTTGGGCACCTGATTTAGGCTTTAGGATGATGCCAGGCCTCAGCAGGGTGATTTGAGGCAGCTAGCTGGAAACAATGTAAAATTCATGAGCCTATAATAGAGTACAGAAGAGGAAGCCTGAATCTGCAGCTCAGTGGGCAGGATCACCACTGTGATCAGCAGGTGCCATTTATGTGTTTTATCCAATGTCTATGGGAAAACTTACAGGTATTCTTGAAAATGCAAAGCACCTTGCATCCTCTCCAGATCTCCCTGCAACAAAGCTACATGGGTCTTGCTCCCTCTTGGTCTTTGCTTCTTTGCATTTTTTTTTCAGTGGCCCAGATTCAACACAGAAAGTGGGGAGAAGCTACATCGCATTGTTTGTCAGCTTGGAGAATTCACAGAGATGAGAGCTGGGCATTCAACAGGCCCAGCCTCATGTTTATTTGCCAGTGAAGGATCTTGCCTCTGGAGCAGTGCACCTGAAAACTTCTACCTTCTAGTGATTGTGGTGAGCAAAGCTGCTGCGTTTGTGTTCATCTGCATGCAAACTCTGTGTGTTTCAAACATGTCTGTCAGACTGGGCCTTTCTCATGACTGTGGTGGACTAAAAGTGCTTGTCTGTCTGTGTCAAATAGAATAGAATTTGTGTGGGAGGTACTCATGCAGCTGTGTAGGAAACTCTGAGCACTGCTTCGAAACTGTGAAAGGGAGGCTTTGGCTACCAGCATCAAAAAGGATAATAGATTCTAATTTATAAAAGCAGGTATGGGTTAAGTGTCTGGTTAAGTACTCATATTGTAACTTGAGAGTGTAATGTAATAGTTTTTAATCCAGAAAACACTCATTCACATATTGGGATCTTAAAGCCCATTTTCACAAACTTTAGTCAGACTCTTTGTATCTATATGATTAGGAATGTTCATATTTCTAGCATTGGCCCCTTAGAAATCATATGAATCCCCATCCTACACAACCAATTAGTGTATTGAACTTTTGAACATTGAATTGTTTTGTTTTATCTTCCTGATAGATAAAGTAATAACGGGTAATTTCTTCTTGTTGCATTTGTTGTGTCACGTATTTTGGAATCAAACTAGGTTTTGTTGAGTGAGATAGGAATTACTCAACATATACATGACCTGATAACACTGAGCTGATAAAGCATGCAAACCTGAAAGATCTTTTTTCCTCTCTTCAAAAGCACATAGTCTCTTCTAATTCTTGAAAGTGTCTCTAAGTTGATGTCTATACAAAGTAAACAAATAAACTGATAATCCTAATAAAACCAAAACCATGGTCCCAATATCCATATTCTCTTGCCTGTTTCATAAGATATTTAAATGTTCTTGCTTTTTGTGTGTACAAATTGACACTGACTTAAGAGCTGATTGTTTGGCAGACATTGAAATTTCTTATTAAATACAGAATATCAGTAAACTGTAGAATTGGCTTCCTCTAAACCATAATAAAGTACTTATAGAAAGTGCAAGTAATACTGTTTATTGTGCAAATAACATTCTTGTACATGAGAGTAATAAAACTGTGCATGTAAGAGGTTTCAGTAGTGCTCATTTCAGGAACATTTAGCAAACAGCAAGAACACAAGAGCAGTGGAATACTCAAAGTATGGGCTCAGCCCTCTCTGAGCAGGTACTGTTACTTCCATCGTCTCGTGAAAAAGCTAAGAAAAATTAAGCAAAAGAGCTTATAATAAAGTGAGATGCCATTTACATTTTTCAGGTCACTGAGTGTGCATCTTAAAAGGCATACACTCTCAGAATGAGAGAACAGGCTGGGACACCCATGTTCCTGAAGTAGCTACTGACTTCAGAAGAGTTGCACAAGGCAGAAATGAGACTATATCCTGTTCACCATATTAGGCTAAGTTAGTAATGCATGAGGTCCCCTCACATTCAGCTTCCTATTTAGTCAGCATGAAATCTTCAGCAGTTAAATCACATTACGTTAAGCCTGCTTTTGGTCTACCACCCTCTCTCCTTCTTTGCCCAGCAATACTGGCTTAGTTTAGCCTCTGATCTAGTCCTAGGGACAGTTAATAGCACAGGCCAGTGTGGCTTGAAGCCCTGGGATGAAAAGTGGTCAACAAATCCAGTCCTTGAGCAAAATATTTTATCACTGCTAAAGCCCATCTGTGCAACAGGCTATTTGCAGGAGCTTCTGGGTTCAGGCAGGGTGTGATGGATGCTCAAGCAGACATATCTGAACTGACTTTGGGTAATGATAAAGTCACCCTAGCATTGATCTCAGTGTGCTTGCAAAACCTGAAAAATAAAGGCTGTGTTAGGTAACGAATGCTGGTGGCTGTAAGTAGCTGATTTAAAGCTGCAGTCACGGTCATGACCACACTGCAGCCCCCTCACCTCCCCTGGGGACTCACCTATGCAATGAATAAACTCCTCAAGGAATTACAGATTGAAAGCTTGATGTGCACAGTGCTCTGAGCAGTGAACACATTAAAAAGCTCTATGAATAGGAGAGAGAAAGTAAAGAAATGAGAGAGATATTAGTTATAATTTAGTATGCTGAGAAAAGTCAACTTGGCTCTTGATGAGGCAAAACATAGGACCTATAACAGGAATGGGATGGAATGGGATGGAATGGAATGGAATAGAATAGAGTAGAATTAGAATAGAATAGAATAGAATAGAATAGAATAGAATAGAATAGAATAGAATAGAATAGAATAGAATAGAATAGACCTAGGCAATAAGAACTGCTAGCATGAGAAAACACTTTTGCATGTAATAG